TCAAAAGATCACAAATCGTATCTAGTTGAAGACATTACCCTTAAAAATTGAAAAAAATTCCCTCGTTCCCCGCAAATGGGGGAAATATCCAAAAAAATTACAAATTTAAAAATCGCTAATTTTCGAAATTTTTTCACTTTTTTTTCTTAAAACTTCCATAACTTTTTGAAAAATCAACAAATCAACATAATTTTTTTTTATACTAAAACCTTAGATATTAACCTTTTATTTGATATCATTTTTTTAAAAATCTATCACTTAACCTGCTCATTGGGGGGGATTTAAAATGGCAACTTTTTTACAAAAATTAATTTTTTCAACTTAATTTTTGAAAATGTTCCGGAAAGACTGCGTCCTTTAAACATATATCAAATTAAAGCTTATTTTATGTACTACAAAATGAAAAAAAAAAATTTGTCCCGACACTTTTTTTTCTACATTTAAACGGCTGCCGTAGTTAAAAAAACACTATTTTTGTGTTAAAATTTTCGATTTTCGATTTTAAATTTTCAACTTAAAAATGCTATAACTTTTTGAAAAATGTATATATCAGCACAAATTTTTTTTTTCTAAATACATTATAAGTACATCTTTCATTTGACATACTTTTTATTAAAATTGGACAATTTCCCCTTATATAGGGGGCGTTCAAAACTTAAAATATTGTAAAAAACATAGATCTTTTTCAACTGAACTTTTGAAAATGTTCCGGAAATACTGCGTCCTTCATACATATATCAAATTAAAGCTTATTTTATGTACTATAAAATGAAAAAAAAAAATTTCCCCGACACTTTTTTTTCTACATTTAAACGGCTGCCGTAATTAAAAAAACACTATTTTTGTGTTAAAATTTTCGATTTTAAATTTTCAACTTAAAAATGCTATAACTTTTTGAAAAATGTATATATCAGCACAAATTTTTTTTTTCTAAATACATTATAAGTACATCTTTCATTTGACATACTTTTTATTAAAATTGGACAATTTCCCCTTATATAGGGGGCGTTCAAAACTTAAAATATTGTAAAAAACATAGATCTTTTTCAACTGAACTTTTGAAAATGTTCCGGAAATACTGCGTCCTTTAAACATATATCAAATCAAAGGTTATGTTATATACTATCAAATGAAAAAAAAAAATTTGTCCCGACATCTTATCTTCTATGTGCAAATGGCTGTCGAAAATTTAAAAAAAAATGTAATGTTTGCGATAAAAATTACATTTTATCGGGATGTTTTTTGTACTTAAAACTGCCATAACTTTTTCAAAAATGAACAAATAAAAATAATATTTTTTTGTATTGAAACCTTAGATATTTCCCTTTCATTTGATATAATTTTTTTTGAAAATCTAACACTTATTCTGCTCACTGGGAGGATTTAAAATAGTAACTTTTTTACAAAAAATAACTTTTTCAACTTAATTTTTGAAAATGTTCCGGAAATACTGCGTCCTTTAAACATATATAAAATTAAAGCTTATTTTATGTACTACAAAATGAAAAAAAAAAATTTGTCCCGACGATCTATCTTCTATACGCAAATGGCTACCATATTGAAAAATATACTATTTTTGTATGATAATTATGGGTTTTGTATTTTATTTTAATAGAAGTTGATGTTGCTTTTGCAATTATCCATCAATTTTTTAAAATTAAACACTATCTACAGATTTGCATCGAAGCGTTTCTTATGATAGTGATTTTAATCACTGTCAGATTAAATCTATACTGGACCCAACTATGCAATGTCTCAACTATGCCGCGACCCCACTGTGCTACCGTTTATAATAAATAGATTTGTTAAAATAAGATTACTGTCTATATTTTACTACTTAAAGAATTCTGTAAAACTAAAAAGATTCATTTAAATTTTTTAATTTATCAATCATACAGTATTTTTTTATGTTTATATATTATACCTTAAAATAGTATTAACTTTATTCTTTTAAATGATAACATAGATATTTAACTATATTAAATACCTATGTTATTATATGTTATTTATAGCTCATAAAATAAACATGTATAACAAAATATTTTTAAGGAAACGAGTAAATAAATTTAGCTAACTAAACACAATATTAACGAAATGTTGGGGTGCTATAATTTAATTACGCTTTTTCTTAATAATACTTTATAAATAAATAATATTATAGAAAAATACATGTAGTATTATTCTTTTATTTTTTATGAAGTTGGGAGCTTCTATGCTCCTTCTAAATTATTTTCGCTGTAGTATTGTTTAAATTTTGTGTATTACACCAATTTTTAGTTCATATTTCGGTATTTTTAGCACTTAAAGTTCTAAGTTTTGATCAT